GTATTTGAATGAAATTTGATACATAGCACTTGGAATAAAGGAAAATCAACCGCCAATTTCAGAATTTGGTTTTGCGCGCGCAGTGCCTACTTTTTTATTTATGGAAGAATTTAAACCAAATTTGATACATAGGCACTTGGAATAAAGGAAAATCTAGCGCCAGTTTCAAAATTTTATTTTGGGCATGCGCAGTGCCAACTTTTTTATCTATGGAACCATTTAAGTGAAATTTGATACTTAGGCGCTTGGAACAAAGGGAAATCTAACATTAGTTTTAAAATTTAGGTTTGCGCATGCGCAGTTCCAACTTTCTTATTTAGAAAAGCATTGAAATGAAATTCTTCTCATAAACTGAAATTGAAGTAGCACGTCAACAATGGATTGCCCATGTGCAACGCTATCTTTCATATTTGTGGCCGGATTTTTACGATTTTAACAGAAGTTGCATCTTACAAATGGGAAATGAATGCAAGTGGAAATGCGCTTTATGTAAATCGTTTACGATTACTTTTTAACTTGTTTCTTCTTACTTTTCGACCCAATTCACACACTTCACACTTTATTGTAAATTGTGAATATCTGTGATACAAAACACATGCTATTTTAAGACTTAATTAGAAAACGAATGCCTTTTTTGTGCATTTCAACCAAACCACTCCACTCTTACGGCATTGTGTGCCGGGGCACCATCCTGTTGAAAACAACAGTTTCCAACTTTTGTTTTTTTTATGTGCCGTATATTGTTGTATTCGTAATAAAAAATGCTACTCAATACTTTTTTACGGGTCGAAGTTGGAACTCCTATCAAACACAATTAGATTTGCTTAACGTTTCTTCAATTAGAATACTATGAGAGAAAAAAATAATTTTTTCGAAAGCCCCCCCCCCCCCCCGCCTTCGCCCCTTTTCACTCAAGGTATGAGGTATGTAGAAACAAATTTCTTTCAATGAGACCTTTCATTAAAATACTATGAAGAACGGGTGTTTAACCCACTCCCCCTCACAATTTTTAAAAGTTAGGGTCAAAAAGAATGTGGTTGCTAGAAATTAATTCCTTTCGTTGAGACCTTTCATTAGAATACTAAAGAAGATAAAACGAATTTAAAAAAATGTGTAAGGAGGATTTGCTTGAGAATCTTGGGGTTAGAAGAGTGCCAGAACCGTAGTGTACAATCTGGCCATTTTTTTTGGGAAAAAAATCAAACGCATCATTTCGGAAACCATAAACTAAACTTGATAACGTATACTATAAGCTTATGTGAAGATAGGATCTTAATTTTAAATGCGAACGAAAACGGCAGAATATGTCGTTGGAAAGCTTTCCACAATTTGTTCGTATATGCACAACTTTATTATTCCTTAGCGCTATACAGGGTGTTTTATGGGAGCTTTAGTTAAACGTTTCTGGGAAACGAGAAATAAGTATACGTTTTAAAAAATGTATATAGGAGTTAAGTCTGAAGGCCGGATCGATGTAAAACATTTCCAAAATTATGGCCCAGAAGTAGCTAGTAACTTCGTTTTTTTACATGGCAATCCCTCTTTTTTATAGCATTTTTGGATTCTAATTTCTACGTGAAATTTTAATTCTTTGATACCGAAACCAAAAAACCAAAAAAATTAGCTTTTTTTAATGAGGTGATATCTATCTGTAACAGTTTTTGACTTACTCTCATTTCATTGAATTGATATCATTTTTTTCGGATTTTCTTTTTAGTAGTCGGCCATGATGATGACGCTCGTTTCATAAATACGTACAGGGTGCCCGTTATGTATGGAACGAGGTATGGAATATCAGAATATGGTATATATCTCGGTAAATAACGGCTGTATACAACATTTTTCTATATTAAAGTTTACTTTCCCGTAGTAATAAGGCAGCATTCATTTGTTTTTATTTCAGGAAACAAACGACTAATGAAAAACAATTGATTTTTTTTAAAATAGCAGTATCCCCTTTCATTAGGCTCATTGAATAGATTTTTTAGCGCATTTTTGAAAAAATACGCTATTATATTCGTTATGGCTGGCTGGCCGGCTGTCCGGGTGAGATAGCTAGACTTCTAATTTGCACTAAAAGCTTTCTGCTACAGTGTAGATGTGCAGGCTCTCGTCTATTTTGAATTAGATTACTTGTGAGATCGATAATTTAAGAAAATAATTTCGATATGGTTTTCGGAGGTGCTATAATTTTACCGTTAGATAGCGCTACCAGTATAAAAACTTAATTATTTACTTTGTGATTTGTTTTACAAAATAAAGACGTACCCTCAATTGAAATTAAATAAAATTTCAGCCAAAATTACTCGTGAGATCGATAATTTTAAGCTTTGCTAATCAAATACTGATCTGTATTACCAAAAATTCGCTTTAATCATGCATATGCTGATTTACAACTTGTTTCTACTTTTCTACTTTTTTCTATAACGTAACATGTTACTACCCTTATACAAGAAAATTTTTCAAACAAGTTTAAAAGCTCTAAATAATTAATAATAATTATAATATTTTATTTTGTATACATGGTGATTTTTTTTCATTTACACTATGGGAATCTCGTAAACCATAAGAGGTTCAAAGTCGGCTAAATAGGCAAAGTTATGCCAAATTTAATGCTGATTAATTATAATTTCCTGTAGGTCTACAAATAGCAAAGTTCTAGCCAAAAAACCCGAAAAATGTGATTTTCTAAAATGCACTAGTTCATTTATTTTCAAAAATATAAAAAAATCCTTTCAACAAACTCTTAGTGATTTTTTCTCAGCTTTCTGAAGGTACTAAAATAAAATGTTTATGACTTGTGGGTTTCGAGTAAACCACATCAACTTTCTTATTTCTTATGGACGCCATATTAGATGTCACTCGATAGAGAAAAAAATTACAAAATTAGCGATACCATGCAATGCAAATACTTGGTATTTTATTTCGAAATTAATCTCTAATTTTTGCCTTGAAGTTTGAATTTCTTATGGCAATTCCATGGCCGTGTTGATGGCAATTATGCTAGGCAATAAACAAATGAATTTTGTTTCAATAACAATTGAATTTGAAGTTGCAGACAAAACGAAATTAGCAATAATTTCGCCCATAATACTCAGACATAAGACATTCATTTCAAGGATTTCATGATAGGTTAGGCCACTGCCTTGAAGTTAGAGGCGAATATTTTGAACACTTATTGCGATGAAAACCATTTTATTGCTAATTTCGTCTTCAAGGTTTAATACCTGTTAGAAACAGGCGACATGAATGCAATGTAGGATTTGAAAATTTAAGTTACAGTGTACGAGAGGGAATATTTCGAAAGCGTAAGTTAATAAGAAATGTACATCTAAAAAAGAAAAAAAATTCTCTATTAAATGAGCCTAGTGAAAGCGTACATTGTTATTTCAAAAAATGCAATCGTTTTTCGTTACTCGTTTGTTTTTTTAATTAAAAACAACTTAATGCTGCCTTATTATGGAATGAAAATGTTACAACTTTTATATAGAAAATTTTTGTATACACTCGATATTTATCGAGATATGTACTATACACAATGTGCACCCTGTATATAAAAAAAGTTGAACTGTTTGAAAAGATTCCTGCATGTATGAATTTTTGCGACATTGCAATCGTCTTAATAATGCGTTTTGGGCAATAAAAACTTCGTGAGAGTAAGTAGGTAGTTTTTGGGTCTTTTAGAATCAGTTAAGCTCTCAAAATTTTCTTGAGATTTATAAGATTTTTAGTACCTTCTTAAGTTCCCTTCATCAATCTAAAATTTGTGAGAGCTGCCGTGACGGGAAGGCGAAAGTGTTAAAAGACCCGTAGACTGTGAGCATATTTGTAAAAGGCATGCGAAAATTGACTCTTCCCCACAACTATTTCGGAATGCGAATTGCGAACTGAGTTTAACCACGATTCAATGCGTGCCATAATGGTCGACGGGCAAGGATTACTCTGCTTGCAACCGGGTGGTTCGGGTTCGATTCTTTTTTCAATTTTTTTCCCAAAATGCGTATCAATTTGTAGGTTTAAGATTGTCTTCTCAAATTTTTTTCGTAACCGATCATTTCCTCGTAGGGATCTTTTGTAAGCATTTCTGTTGTTTTTTTCTTTTTTCATTTGCACTAAAAATGCTCACTCAGATTTGAAATGAGGGACGACGGTTCAATTTTTCCAATTAGTAGAAATGAGTCCTGAAACCCTCTTACTCTCTCATCGGAGCTGCACACATTTTTAAATTTTTTGAACAATGAATCTGCACAGACATGAAGGTAGCATTTCTTCAATTGGATTACCATAACAAAATGAAAAACCAAATCTTCACTTTTCGTTGAAATTAATCGAATTAGTATTTTTTCAGTTTCATTATCTAAAAGAGTCACTATCAGTGCTGTATGTTTGTGCTTATCACAATCATTGAGAATTTTTTTATCCACGCATATTTTTCAAAGTAGCTTTGAAAAATGGAACACACTGTATACTTCAATCCAGCCACAATAATTTGTACTAGTACGGTATATGACCCAAAAACAAGTGGACCGGTTTTGGATTTTACATGAAAGAATGTCCTAACAAAACGACTGAACAAGATGAAACGTATCTAAAATTAGGAGACTGTGCGTTTAAAATTAGCGACTACCTGTTGGAATTTTATTACTGATGAGTGATGAGTCTCCTCAATTCTCATAATTTCAAAAAAAAATGTATACAAATTATGCTTTTAAGGTCAATTATGATTTGTTTCCGCTGAAGTCAGTCAGTTGGAACGATATAGTTGCGTAACGGCGCTTGTTACATGCACCGTCTGCGGTAGTGTAGGTATGCAAAAAAACGCCGCTTAATGAATTTAGCCATTATATGACATCATCGTCGAGAATATTACCATTTTAAAAGACAAACCTGTTTGGCGAGAACGTGATATTTGAACGTTATACGGTTACACCTTGAATTTACTTTCTTCACGTCACATAGGCGTTGTTCGTCGGACAAAACAAAAAAAAAACACTACTCACCCGCAGTTGCACAATTCGCAGATGCATTGTTCTTTCTTCGGAAGCTTCGGTTTTTCTTCCTTCGCCGGAATTTTTCTTATAACTTCATTTATAATTACTTTATTATCGACCAGCTTATTTACATTCGTAATGTTTGTGACCTCATTCTAGAACATTAAAGGCAATTATCTTTAAATTATTGTCAAATAAAATATACTCACAATGTCTTTAATGTCGACAATATCTTCTTTAATGAAAGTATGTCTAACATCGTCCACGAATTTTTTATTGACAACGGTGACGTCATCTTCTGGTCCCGTTGGCGCACGTCCATCCTTTGGATATCTTGGGCTTCGGGTGTCTTCAGGGCCTCGAGGTGCGTCTTCCAGTCTCTGAGGGCCCCTAGGTTTATCCTTGGTGCTATCATACGTGTCGGTGGTCGTATACGTGTCGAAGGTGGTTTGCTTGTCGACAAACGTTTGCGAATCTTTAATAATGGTGGTCTTCGTGTCGGAGAAATCGGAGACGCTTTCGTAGGTATCGATTGTCGTTTTCGAATCGGTTATCGGGCGTTTGTCATATGGAGATCGTCCATCGACGGGATACTTGGGCGCAGTTTCGTCAGGATATTTCGGTCCTCGACCATCATGGGGGTACTTGGGTTCTCGCACGTCTTCTGGACGTCTTGGGCCACTTCTATCGTCCGTGGATGGAATTAATTTGTCAGTAGGTCCGTCTGTCGCCGAGTACGTGTCGTGAGTTGTTCGCTTGTCAACGAATGTTTGCGAATCCTTAATGACGGTGGTTTTCGTGTCGGAAAAGGTCGTTTTGGAATCCGTTATTGGCCGTTTGTCGTCAGGGTACCTAGGCGTTGTTTCGTCAAGATATTTTGGTCCTCGGCCATCCTGAGGGTACTTTGGTTTTCTCACGTCTCCTGGACGCCGTGGGCCCGTTTCATCTTTTGGAGATTCGTCAGCGATTTCTTGAGGACGTCTAGGTCTGTCTCGAGTGTTGTCAAATTGATCCGTCGTGGAGTACGTGTCGAAGGTTGTTCGTTTGTCAACGAATGTTTGGGAGTCTTTAATGACGGTGGTTTTCGAGTCGGAAAAGTCAGAGACACTTTCATAAGTCGTTTTCGAATCGGTTATTGGCCGTTTGTCTTGAGGACGCCTCGGGGTCGCTTCGTCTACATATTTTGGTCCTCGGTCATCATGGGGATACTTTGGTTCTCTCGAGTCTCCTGGACGCCGTGGACCCGTTTCATCTTTTGGAGATGGCCCCAATCCGTCAGTTATTTCTTGAGGACGTCGAGACCCGTCAAATTGATCCGTCGTGGAGTACGTGTCGAAGGTTGTGCGCTTGTCAACAAACGTTTGAGAATCCTTAATGAGAGTAGTTTTCGTGTCAGAAAAATCGGTGACACTTCTTTCATAGGTCGTGGAATCAGTTTCGCCTGGCTCACCGGGATATTTCGGTTTTCGAGCGCCTGGGCTAGTTTTATCCTCCGGTTTCGGATATTTTGGTCCACCGCGATCTCCGGGACCTTTCGGTTTGTCAGCAATTCCTTGAGGACGTCCAGGTCCGTATCCATCGGTCGTGGTGTGCGTTTCGAACGTCGATTGTTTGTCGATAAAAGTTTGGGAATCCTTGACGAGAGTCGTTTTCGTATCGGAAAAGTTTGACACGCTCTCATACGTATTAATTGTAGTTTTTGAGTCTGTCACTGGACGTTTATCTTCAGGATACCTAGGGCCGCGCGCATCTTGTGGGTGTCTTTCGTTATCTGGGTGCCGTGGTCCACGTCGGTCGTCGGGGCCGCTGGGATGGCGATCTCGAGGTTGATCCCTGCGGCCATCTGTTGTAGTATACGTTTCAAAAGTACTTTGCTTGTCGACAAATGTTTGCGAGTCCTTAAAATGGGTGGTGTTCGTGTCATTCATGGTGGAGTCGATAACATAAGTTTGATCCATTATGTCTTTCGATGTTGTAGTTTTACGATCCGTTGGCACTTGTTGATCGGGGCGAGTCCGTGGTGAATCGTCGCCGGGTTTCCCTGTAATGTAGCTTTGGTCTACAAACATTTTGGAGTCCTTAATCACGGTAGTTTTCGTATCGGATACGTCCTCGACGACCGTGATTGATTTGGTCGTTTGTCCTGGCGCAGTCTTTTGTTCGTCAATAAACGATTGGGTGGTGCTCCCTTGGGGTCGCGTGGGTTGATCGCCAGGCTTGTGTTTGGGAGTCTCGTACGTGAATTGCCCATTCCAAGAGGTTTTCCCGTAATTTCGTTCGTTCGAGTAAACAACATCCGTTGAGTCGATCGTATGATCCTTAATAACGCGGCCTTTGGTGCCGATGGTATTTTGGGTGGCGGTGGTGTCGTACACATTATCGACCACGGTGGTTTGCGAGTCGACGCCGTGTCCGTAAAAATCACGCGAGTCTGTCGTTGATCTAGTCGGTTGTTTGGGTTTAGGAGAAGTTTCGTAGGTGAACTGTCCATTCCAAGACGTTTTGCCATAATTACGATCGTTGGAGTACACCACATCTTTCGAATCTATGGTATGATCTCGCAAAACTTTACCTTTGGTTCCGATAGTATTTTGAGTTGCCGAAGTATCGTACACATTTTCCACTACCGTCGTTTGCGAGTCAATCCCATGACCGTAGAAATCGCGAGAATCGCTAATTTGTGTCCTACGCTCCACGTTTTCCGACGTGGTTCTCGATGAAGGTGGAGGATTTTTATTTTCCACATCAGTAACAACATTAACAACATTTCCCGCAGAATCGTAGTACGTAGTCGTGGTAGTTGTTGTAATAACATCACTGCCTAAATCGTGGAAGTTTTTTGTATCCGTGTAACTGTGGACATCCGACTGTTTCGTTTTGACCGCGGTCGAGTCGTGTCCGAAAAAATTTCGAGAATCTGACTTCGTCTGTGACGTTTTATTATCCCTCGCGACTTTCTCCACTGTAAACGTACCATCCCAGTTTGTGTCTGTCCGTAACTTTGGATGCGCAACGGCTTTGTTATCCTCAACTTTGTAAACATTAGACGTCTGGGAATCGCCTACGCGATGAAGCTCTTTAATAGTCTTAGAGCCACTAGTTTGGGGTTGGGATAATTCGGGCACGGAAGAATCGTACACGGTCGAGCTTTGCGCCTGTTTTTGTACGTGGTGCAATTCGGGAATTATATTTGTGCCAGATTTTGAGGAGGTCTGTTCTTCGCTGCTTGCGGCGGTCGAGGAGCCCGATTCGTGATGTTTCCGATCGATTATTCGCTCCTTACCGTCCACGATTTCGACAACATAACTGCTAGAGGAACTTTTTTGAATAGATGAGCTTTTTTGTTGGGAGTATGACGAGGACGACTGCTCGACAATTGTCCCTTTTTTAGTAATCGGCTGTTCCAATACGAACTTGCCGTTCCAAGCCGAGTCGTTTTTGTTTTGCGTGTAGCGTAGTTCTTCTTTTGGCTCGGTTACTATATATGTCGCATTTGAATCGTCCGAAAAGGTGGACAGGTTTGTATTTGACTGATTTAAAGTGGAACTTACTTGCACTATATTTGATGCCGATTGTAGAGATGAGGATTCTTTATTGATGAAATGGCGATATTCTACAGAAGTGTCTCCGGCTGCACCGTAGGTGGTGACACTTTCACCGCCTCCTTGCGGAAATGTTTCGGTTACCGAATATGTTTGATTAAATGCGGAGGATCCCGGTAAATGGGACACGTCGGCGATTTGGAGGCTGGAAGCCGACGACGAACGAGATGTTCCCGTGGCCGTGGTTTTTGAAGAATCTACAACCTTTTTGGTGACCTTGGTGCAACTGGTACTCGACGTAGACGCACTTGTACTCGCACTTTTCTTCTTTGTTTTTGTAACACTCGTAGTCGATTTATTAACGGTCATTTTGCGAAAATTCGAACGAACAGAACCGTGTGTAACGTATGACAATCGCGCACTTAATGAAAGTGAAGGATGCTTCCAGTGAGAAGTAGTTCTCAGGCGGAGGTGTCTGTGGAGGACCAGCTCCAATAGCAGTTGCTCTACGTCACGTATTCGTCCCACGAAAGCATCAACTTGTTATACTTATATGGACAGTCTGCATATGTCTTATTCTGACTAATGCACTTTTTCTTCCAATTCTGTTTCCAATCAACCCTTGAACACTTAAAACTGCAATCCCAGTTAAATATTCAGTTACGCACACAAGAACGAGTTTAATTGTGAAAGTTTATCTTTTGCAAGCGAGTCATGCAAAGGCACGTTTCGAAACCTAAACACGAATCTTAAATACAAAGATTTACTTTTAATCACTACCTGCAGTATAATTAAAAACGGCAAAATGATTGTTGAACGCGCGTTTTTCTTTCATATGTTCTTTAACGTCTATAAATAGATATCGCCTCAATTTCTCAACAAGCATTAATCACTTACTTAATGTATGAATCTTAGAAATTATCGCAGCCGGCTAGCATTTTTATGACAATTGAATCAAAACAAGCTATTTATGTGCGATTATAATATCGCGGATGGTTCACACAAAGGGCAATCCGGCGGAGAAAACGGTACGCGCTCGCATTCTGAATGAGATAAACCACTATTCGTACCTGTTGAAATTTCCGTGTAAATAAAGATAAAGCGAAGGACGTGTGTAATGTAATGCGACGTGTGAAAATTTAACCAAATTAGATACATTTAACGGTAACTCGCGCATTCGCAACACACGAACCATGGGCACCAAGCAGAAATAAAATTACTAACCTTGAACTCCGATTTAATGAAACACATCGTGAATTATTAATTGTCATATGGATAACTAGATTACAAACCTACTTATTGCAATGTCAGAGAATCGGCCACCTTTGATTATGGCGATAACAAATGAATTTCGAATCGCGTCACTTCTAAATGAAAACACGGCAAAATGATAATCTTTCAAGTAGAAGTAGAGGAATGAAATCATTTTTTTTACCTCCATGGACTAAATGTGTTTTGTCTTCCAGGGACTAAAGCGTCAGTTTACTCCCGCGGAAATTGAAATGCGATGAGGGTCAGTACACACTGAAATCTTCATTAACGGTTACCTTCAAATGTACCTACATTTTGGCTATTGACCCATACTTTATAACCATATTATACCGTTTTCCAGACATCTTTTTGTATTTGGGAGTTGGGACGCAATCATAGCTTCATAACTGCTTCTGCGGAGTTTTGAATTATAATTTCTGCACGGTACGTTGTTTTATACCAATGAAATATGAGATTTATTATTCCATTGTAACAATCGTAACATGATAAAGCATCGTGATTCTACAATCAAACAAAATTCTTTCTTTCAAATGTAGACTTTCCCATTGAAGTTGCTGTAACTGATTACAGGAGTCCAAAAAATAGTGTATTGTATATACCACAGGATTAGAGTGCGTCCTAATCTCTCGGGATTAAAACTTAATACATTAGTCGGGTTGTACAATGCGATCAAAAATGAGTTGCTGTCGAGTCACCTTGGGAATTTTTGTTTACATGAAAAGTCGTACTTCCACAGAATACCTGATCCTGGTAGTGTCGCCACATGGCCGGGATTTTTCGGGATTGTCCCGGAATTAGCTGCACTGTCCCGGATCCCGGTTTTTCATATATAAATCCCGGGAAAAAACGTCTTGAAAAAATTCAAAATTTACACTCAACCCCTAATAAATGACGACAGTGCAACCACCAATTCCCCCCCGCGCTCCTCAGTTTTTAGCGCATTTTTTATTATATTCGTTATGGCTGGTTGGCTGTCCGACTGAAATCTCAGCAATTACAATAGCTAGAGACTTAACATTTTCACTAAAAGCTTTCCGATGTGCAGGCTCTAGTCTATTTTGAGTTAGATTACTGGTAAGATCGATAAGTTTAAACTTTGCTAATGAAATACTGATCTGCATTACCAAAAATGCGCTTTCATGATGCATATGCTGATTTAGAACTTGTTTCGTTTAATACAGGGTGGCCATTTGAAAACGAAACAGAGCCTATTTTGGGGACCTCAAAACATTTACGAAAAAATCCTCGGACCCGTAAATTTTTGATTCAAGGGGGAACCATTTTTTAGCTAGTTTCGCCCCCCTGATGGCAAAGCCATAGCGGGGGTGGCAAGCGCCCCCAAAATTTTAAATCGAATGGGGGGTCGAGTGATACCTTATTTGGAAGGTATTTTTATGTGGATTATAACCTTTAAGTTTTGAATCAAGTAAATGTTGAAAATGTTGGCCTTCGACTTCCATAGAATAATACAGGTTTTGTTCAAACATTTCCCGTATATTTTGAAAAACTTCTGAGGTGATTTGACGACATTCGTCAATTATTTTTTGTTGCAAGTTGTCTAACGATGTTGGCTCACTAGCATAAATTTTAGTTTTTAAATGGCCCCATAAGAAAAATCTAACACACTTAAATCCGGGAAACGAGAAGGCCATTCAAAATAGCACCTTTTCTTCCAATCCATTGTCCTGGAAACGTTTGGTCCAAATATTGACGAACCCTTGCAGCAAAGTAGGGTGGCGCATCATCTTGCTGAAATACTAGACTATTTCCAAGTACTCGTTGTTATTTTCTAGTATCTCCACTAATTCTGGATGAATAGTCTTTTGTAATAACTCCATGTACATCTCTCCTGTTAAAATTCCAGATATAAAGAAGGGGCCTACGATATGGTTACCAAAAATGGCAGCCCAAACATACGATGGACCTGTCGATTCTGGTGTTGTCGATTGAAGAGCTGGGCAGTTCTATTAGCATTTTCATTGTTTGCAAAAAAAGAGAAATTATTTCAGTGAATAAACCATTATCACTGTTCAATGTACCGATTTTGCAACTAAATATCTTTAAAGCACTATTTGTCACTACTATGATCTGACAACAGTAATTGACAATCACTATTAAACTTCAAAATGCTGCTATAGTAATACTCTCAACAATAACCAAGATTTGCGTTGCAGAAAAGGCATATGTACTTTCAAGTAATAAAAAGAAAAAAAAACAACAAAAAGCGTTCAGAATGTAGGAGAACAACATTTTTTGTATTTATTGTTGTTTCTATTTTTTGTTATTTAACTAATTCATTTACAAGAATTTTTTTCATAAGAAAATTTTGACATATCTTTATAACTTTTATTAGCCCCTGTATCGACTAGGCAAATTAGTAGCGATTTAAAACTTAAGGGTTATAATCCACATAGAAATACCTTCAAAATCAGGTATCACTCGACCACCCATTCGATTTAAAATTTTGGGGGCGCTTGTCACCCCCGCTAGGGCTTTGCCCTCAGGGAGGCGAAACTTGCGAAAAAATGGTTCCTCCTTGAATAAAAAATTGACGGGTCCGAGTATTTTTTCGTAGATGTTTTGAGATCCCCAAAATAGGCTCTGTTTCGTTTTCAAATGGCCACCCTGTATGTTGGTTTTTGTTTCAGAAAATATGCTGTTGTTAACTTTGATTGTTACATATTAAAATTTTGTTTTTTTATTAAAATATTTTTCATGTTGCGTTCGTTCAACATTGGCACGATCCTATTCCGCATCTTAAGAAAAAAAAACATAGATTGTAGATCGACGTACGGTGTGCTGTGACCAGCAATCTTTCCTGGCGAAAGTAATAATATTAGACTATACTATTTTTACACTGTACACTATTATAACGGAGCTGTACATGAATGATCCACGATCGTCGCGTGGAGACGCCAATCGGTCAAAATTCGTCTTAAATTATTAAACGGGATCGGATAGCAATATTTCAGTACTGGCGGCGAACATGGCTTTTTTCAATATAATTTCTGCATATATCAAAGATCAAAAAGCGCCCCAGACCCCAAAATTTCGATCATCCACTATAGCGCGTTCGCACCTCCAGATGCAATATGGTGCGTACGGACATACAATACTTACATGCTTGCCAAACGTCACAATGACAACACAAGGAGATTATGTTTTGTTTTAATACTTCAATTTAATCATATGTCAATTTGACATCAATGCGGTTAAAAACAAGGATAGTATTATCGAAGAATGACGCAAACTAGTAAGAGAGGCAATTAGTCCATAAGACCTGCAGGTGCGAACGCGCTATAGTAGTGATGTCATCAAACTAAGGGCCAAAAAACTATACATAGATATACAGGGTGTTTCGAAATTTGCGCACACGGACTGTGGGATGGTGTTATACAACGAAAACTGCATAAAAAGTTCCTCTACCAGTTTTTGATCAGACCGGCACTTTTCGAATTCTCGTTGTTCGAAAAATCTGAAAATGAGAATGCCGGAAAACAAAAGCTTGTTCAAAACAATTTATTGTAATTATCGTACAATTCAAATTGCGAAATAATGGCCGGTAATTATTCAAATCGAGAATATTACGATATGCTGAAGGCACTTGGGGCTTATAATAATCGAGCAGGGCAAGCGGTGCGTTTATACGAGTTGTGACATCCTCTGCGGCGGCTACCAGATGCTAACTTTTAGAAGATTAGAAGACCGAATTCTGTTCAGCGGTAATGATGCGGTGCCACACCGTGTTTTTAAAAATGTGTTATTATTAAGTTTATCCAGTGGCGCAGTGTAGGGGGGGTGGAGATTTTTAAAACCGCGGTAGCTCGAAGAATAGCGGTCTGATGGAAAACTGGTAGATGAACTTTTTGTTCAGTTTTTGTCGTATAACACCATCCCATAGTCCGTGTGCGCCAATTTCGAAACACTCTATAGATTCTAATGCACCATATTTTTAGTAAAAATCAAATATGTTTATACAGGGTGTTACAGAAATTGTGGGCTAACTATATGCAGTCGACTTTTACGACTAAAAATATGCAAAAAAATTTAAGACATTTCTCCTAAAGTGACTCGTTTCCGAATGCGAAGTGAGGGTCAAAACAATCCCCTACTGAAAATCGTATGAGATTCTTTGTAACTAAATAGACCACGAGCTCTAAGAAACTTTTGAACGCTCAAAGTCGACTAACCTTCGAAGACGCGCGCCTTGCGAAAGGTAGTTAATTCCGGTCCTAGGAAAAGAGCAGAATTCCGTCCCGCAGGGGTTGGACGCGTTTACAAGATCTTTACGACACCAATTAAAAAAAAAATTGGACCAAAAATGTAAGAGAAAATAGAAAAATCACCACGTCAGTATAACGCGCTTGGGGGTGGCGTCCAGATGTCGCCGATTAACCGACTGCATATCTTTTACGGTTCCCTCAAATTTGGAACATCGTGTACATATGCCCAAACGACTCATAGTGCTACCCTTTTCGTAGAATTGTTCTACTGTGCGTAGTGACCGAATAAAATCTTGTTAATTAGTTGTCAGATTTCGTAATTTAAATTTTATGTACATAACATGTTTGTGATTGTTCCTATATAGAGATAGTATGCGATAATTTTGTTATGTTAATTATAAGCGTCTATAGACCACCTCAATCAGACTTTATCGTGTTCTTAAATGTGTTACAAACAACAGCTTTTTATAGGAAGAATCGCATACGATTTTCAGCAGGGGAAAATTTTTGGCAGTCGGCTGGCATCCGGAAACACAACTTTTAATCCGGCTCATGTTCAATAGCTGTAACACTGATCCTTAAACTCGTAGAAATCGATTGGCGAAGGTTTGCCTTTTTTCGAACGCATTTGAGTGTTTAAAACGGAGATTGTGATTCAGGTAAAATAAAAGTACAATATTTTCTTTCCAACCACAATCAAAACATAAATAAGATCTTGGCTGTTTTGTAAGTCATACCATTAAGACCTAAATTTGAAGTATTATATTCAGAGATATGCACGTAAACAGTAGTAGGAGGAATTGAAAAATCAGAAACTTTGAACAAACCTGAGATATGTGTAGAAGTGATCAAATTGAAGAATTCGAATCTTCAGAATCTGCATAAAGGTTTTGAAGAATTTTAAGGAACGAAAGAATACCAAAAACCTAAAGGTGCGAGAGAACCCGGAGAATACGAAAAACTACAGAATCAGAAAAATTTGAATTATTTCATAAATGTGAATTGTCGAATTTAAAATTTAAAAAAATCCAAAAGACATCTCAATCAAAAATTGAAAAATTCAACGAACCTAAAAAAAATTCAAAAA